TGATGTTGAAATAGGCTAATAATTCTTACATGGGACACAAAAAGCACAAACTATAAAGGTATTGGATTTACCAAAATAAAATTTCTATTCATCAAAACACATAATAAAAAATGAAAAGTCAACATCCAGACTGGAGAAAATATGTGCAGTACACATATATGACAAAGAACTCTTGTAAATCAATAATAAAAAGACAACTCAATGAAAAATAGACAAAAGACTTGAAGAGAAACTTGAGAAAACAGGATTCTGTGGTCAATAAGCACAGAAGAAGATGGCCAACATTTTCAGTCATCAAGGAAATGCTAATTAAAACCACAATAAGATATTGCTTCATACCCATTAAAATGGCTAAAATTAAAAAGATGAAAAATTCTAAATATTGGTAGGGATGTGGAGTAACTGGACTTTCATATATTGATGATGACTATGTAAAATAGTACCTCCATTTTGAAAAATTGTTTTGCCGTTTCTTATCTATATATATAAAAGGCTAGTATGCAAAATGTCCCCTCGGGAGTACAACTGGGAGAACAGGAGTTTGATCACTCGCTATGACATGTGCTGACCACCAGGAGGCAGCGCGGAACATGGTGGGTGACCAGTGGTGGTGGCAGTGTGGTGGCGGCACGGCGCTGCTGAGGGAGCGAGGGAAAGAGGAGGCCAGGAGGTGGGGAAGTGGAGAAACTGATTGGCCCTGATCGCTGGCCAGGCATAGGGACCCTACCCATGCACAAATTTCATGCACCAGTCCTCTAGTATAAAGATAAACATATATCTATCTTATGACCCAGAGTAATATAGGCAGAACAATATCCCCCCTAAAGATGTCCACACCCTAATCCCTGGAACTTGTGACTATATTACATGATGTGGCAAAAAGGACTTTGCAGATAGACGTGACTCAGTTAAGGATTTTTCAATTGAGAAATTATTCCAGGTTATTTAGGTGAGCCCATATCATAAAGGTCCTTAAAAGTGGGAGGGGAGGCAGAATAGGTCAGAGTGACACAATGTGACAAGGATTGATCCACTGTTGTAGGCTTTGAAGATGGAGGGAGGGGACCATGAAGTCCAAAATGGATGCTCATGATCTTCTGTTGTAGGCTTTGAAGATGGAGGGAGGGGACCATGAGCTGAGAAAGGTGGGCAGCTTCTTGAAGCTATAAAAAGTATGGAAATGAATTTACCCTTGCTATGGGCTGAACTGTGTCTCCCACAATATGAAGCTGTAACCCCCAGTATGATGGTATTTGGAGAGGGGGCCTTTGGGAGGTAGTTAGGGTTAGATGAGGCTGTAAGAGTGGGGCCCTCAGGATGGGATTAGTGTCTTTGAAAAAAAGACACAAGAGTGCTCTCCCCCACCCCCACATACCCCATTATGAGCACACAGCCAGAAGGTAGCTATCTGCAAGACTGGAAGAAAACCTTCACAGATCCAGACTGTGCTGACGCGCCAACCTCAGACTTCCAGTCTCCAAAACTGTGAGGAAATAAATTTCTGTTGTTTAAGCCACCCAGTCTCTGGTGTTTTATTATGGGGCCCAAGCTGACTAAGACACCCTAGATTCTAGGGCCTAGGCCCTAGAACCTCCGGAAAGGAAGGCAGTTCCAAGGACACCTGATTTCAGCCACTGTGAAACCTGTATAAGACTTCTGACCTACAGATCTATAAAATAATATTACATTTGCCACTACACCCTTAGTAACTTGTTACAGCACCAACAGAAAGCTAACACACCCAGCAATTCCTTTTCTAGATATTTACCCAAGAAAAATGAAAACAAATCTACAAGAATCATTGTATATGTTTTTAAAAAAATATTTTTTATGGAGTTCAGAGAGGAAGAAGAGGGAGACAAAGATAGAAACATCAATGATAAGAGAGAATTATTGGTTAGGATCAACCCAGGTATGTGCCCTGACCAGGAATCCAATCATGACCTCCTGGTTCATAGGTCAACACTCAACCACTGAGCCATACCGGCTGGGCTTGTTGTGTGTTTGTAGCAGCTTTATTCACAATAGTAAAAACTAGAAAGAACTCAAATGTCCATCATTAGGGAATGAATAAATAAATTGTGGTATGTTTGTACAATAGAACACTATTAAACATTTAAGAAAGAATGTCAAAAGGACAATGAGGTACCATCTCACACCTGTCAGAATGACTATCATCAACAAACGACAAGTGCTGGCGAGGATGTGGAGAAAAAGAAACCCTCATGCACATTAAATACATTGAATTTCTAATAATAATTTTTTAAAAACTTCCCACAAAGGAAACTTCAGGCCAAGATAGTCTCATCAGCGAATTCCATCAAACATTTACAGAAAATGGAAGGAGTGGCAAAATCATGTTGTAGAAGAGCACATAGGTAAGAAATAATGTTGCAGTTATATTTGAAAATTAAAAGCTGCCACGGTGATGTTGAAATAGGCTAATAATTCTTACATGGGACACAAAAAGCACAAACTATAAAGGTATTGGATTTACCAAAATAAAATTTCTATTCATCAAAACACATAATAAAAAATGAAAAGTCAACATCCAGACTGGAGAAAATATGTGCAGTACACATATATGACAAAGAACTCTTGTAAATCAATAATAAAAAGACAACTCAATGAAAAATAGACAAAAGACTTGAAGAGAAACTTGAGAAAACAGGATTCTGTGGTCAATAAGCACAGAAGAAGATGGCCAACATTTTCAGTCATCAAGGAAATGCTAATTAAAACCACAATAAGATATTGCTTCATACCCATTAAAATGGCTAAAATTAAAAAGATGAAAAATTCTAAATATTGGTAGGGATGTGGAGTAACTGGACTTTCATATATTGATGATGACTATGTAAAATAGTACCTCCATTTTGAAAAATTGTTTTGCCGTTTCTTATCTATATATATAAAAGGCTAGTATGCAAAATGTCCCCTCGGGAGTACAACTGGGAGAACAGGAGTTTGATCACTCGCTATGACATGTGCTGACCACCAGGAGGCAGCGCGGAACATGGTGGGTGACCAGTGGTGGTGGCAGTGTGGTGGCGGCACAGCGCTGCTGAGGGAGCGAGGGAAAGAGGAGGCCAGGAGGTGGGGAAGTGGAGAAACTGATTGGCCCTGATCGCTGGCCAGGCATAGGGACCCTACCCATGCACAAATTTCATGCACCAGTCCTCTAGTATAAAGATAAACATATATCTATCTTATGACCCAGAGTAATATAGGCAGAACAATATCCCCCCTAAAGATGTCCACACCCTAATCCCTGGAACTTGTGACTATATTACATGATGTGGCAAAAAGGACTTTGCAGATAGACGTGACTCAGTTAAGGATTTTTCAATTGAGAAATTATTCCAGGTTATTTAGGTGAGCCCATATCATAAAAGTCCTTAAAAGTGGGAGGGGAGGCAGAATAGGTCAGAGTGACACAATGTGACAAGGATTGATCCACTGTTGTAGGCTTTGAAGATGGAGGGAGGGGACCATGAAGTCCAAAATGGATGCTCATGATCTTAGGCAGTCCCCCAAGTGGTGATAGAAGAATCTATCTTGGCCTCCACATCTCCATAGCATGCTTCCAAAGATGCATGCATTTGTCTGCATCAAGCCAGCAGCAGGGTTAAAGCTTGGAGACTGTGCATGAGAGGTTTCAATGGGCCACGCCTGGCAGGGGCATGACTTCTGCTCTCACTCTGCTGGCTTGAATTTAGTCACATAGACACACATGACTGAAAGGCAGGCTGGTAATTGTAGTCTAGACAGGAGCCATCGGAGAAGATGAAAAAGATTTGGTAAGTTAGCAGTGTCTGTCACACCGTATTAAAATCTCATGCTAGCTAACATGTGTTAAATGTATGCTATTCATGAGAAACTGTTTAAGAGCTTTACAATCTTCAAAAATTCTTTGAGATACATACTAGTTTAATCCCTATTTTACAAGTGAGGAAACAGGGGTATAAAGACGTTGAGTTATCCAAGTCGTTCAGCTCATACGAGGAGGAGCTTGGATTTGAACTCAGGCAGCCTCAGGCCAGAGCAGGTGGCCATAACCATTACTTTATGATGCATCCATTTAAAGATTGCATAAAAATTCTAGATGAGTCAAATTTTACTTACCCATCTTTATATTGCTAGAGATTTAGGTAATATATTGACTAGGGCTGCGAATAATGCATTGCTGAACATCTTCAAGTTCCCTCCTCCCCATATTATGGATTGACTCTTTAGAATTCTTTTTTCGTTTTTAAAGTTTGCTAAATTAGGCAGACAAGACTGCTTCCTCTCTGAATTATGTACTGCATACAAATGACCTCATTATTGACAAGACATTCATCATGGGTTGTTAAATGTTTTGGTTCAGCTCTCTCGGTTTGCAAATTGTTCTCTACAGAATATTAATCTGCTTTGGGTTGATATTTGGCCCTGAAGACACTTGAGTAGACAGATAGTTTCCCACTTTACACAACAGAGTTATGAATTTTTCATTGGGAAAGATCTCATAGCCTAGCTGGTCCAATTCTTTAGCTGATGAAGAAAAATAGTTCTAAAAATGTCAGAACAAAAATAGAAATTTTAGAAATTGAATCACATATTTTACTTGCTAGAGGAGCTTGCTTTCAAAGAGGGTCCATGAGAAATGCTGCAGCAAGCGAAAATTTAGCTCGTGAACAATTAACAGCTGTTACAGTCAAGATGCAGAAAGGGACCAAACTTTGAACTGACAAACTGGACCTCAGCTGTGGGAGTGATGTGGCTGTTGTAAAATAGTTAACATATTCCCAGTCCTAGTGTGCACAGACGCCTTGCTCGGCACTTTACATTCTTTGTCTCATGTCGTCCTTGCAGCAAACCTGTGGGGCACATATTGTAAATATCCGTGTTGTACAAATGAGGAAATGGAAGCCTGCAGAGGTTAGAGACTGATGCATTACATTTAAAAGCAGAAAACCACCCCCACCAAAATAGCTCATGGAACCTCATTAAAACCATATCTTTTTATTTTATTATTTTTTTTAAGTTTATAGTTTATTAATCCTCTCATGAAAAATCTGCACAACCATCACAGATACAGTCACCAAAGAATCTTTACTCCTTTTTGCCAGCACCAACATTGGCCTTTGCAGTCCCCCTGACTTTCTTCATTCTGTTCTTGTGTTCCTTTCTGTTTTCTTGAGGTCTTCTTCTTCTCATATAGGTCGTGTCTTGCAAGTCTGTGTTTGGGTTCATTTTTCTTTGCGTAACCCAAGGAATCATAAATCATGCCAAAGTCAGTGGTTAATACTTTAAACAATAAAGAATTTAAATAAATAAAAAAGAAAGAATGAACTATTGATATATGCAGCAACATGCATGAATCTCAAAAACATGTTGAGTGAAAGAAACCAGACACAAATGAATACGTAATGTATGATTCCGTTGGTGTTCAGGAAGGGGCAGAGTAATTTATGTTGATAGAAATCAAAATGGTCATTCCCCATAGGGGTTGGGCACAAGGGAATTTTCTGGGGTGATGGATATAGTTTACATTTAAATTAGTGTGTTGGGTACCAAGGAGTAAAAATTCATCAAAACCTTTTGTTATACACTTGAGATCTTTGCATTTCACTGTACATAAGTTTTCCTCAATTAAAAAAAAAAAGGAAGAACAAATAGTGGGTGGGGGGATATCTCAGTCTCTGGCATACCTTTTATGTATCCTATATTTTTTTTGCATAACATAAAAAACTCCTTTGTTCAATAATGTTTGCTGCTGTGATTGATGAATCTAAAAATCCCACTGTCTTAATACAAAAATATTTCTTATTCACCTGAAGTCCAAAATGGATGCTCATGATCTACTATTGGGGATCGAGCCCACAACCCAGGCTTGTGCCCTTGATCATAATCAAACCTGGGACCCTGCAGTCCACAGGCCGATGCTCTATCTACTGAGCCAAACCAGCTAGGGCAAAACTATATCTTTTTAGATTCTTCGTTTGTCAGGTCAGGGTGAACTAGGAATTCCACTCAGAAGATTATTCCCAAACCCTAAAATTCTCTTAGTTTCTCAGGAAAAAAAAAAAAAGGAATAGGATAAAAAGTTAATTAGAATGGTAAAAATCTAAGCTTTCTTGAACTCAGAGTGGGAGGAACAGGCTACTAGTACTGATTGATTGGTTGATGGCCTTTCAGGAAAGGCTGACCCACCAGGAAGTCTATTGTAGTTTCCATTCTCTGTCACTTGCTCTTTCTGTGTCAAAGCCCTCCTAGCAGGTGTCTGGGGGTCCCTCCCTCCTTTCTTTTCTCCTTCACCTTCTTCCACAGCCTCTTCCCAGCTTCTTTCAGGCCCAGCCTCCCCTGCCTGTCTCAGTCCTTCCCTGTGATTCAAGCCACAACCTTGGGAAATCTTCTTGAACTTCTCAGAAGGTAGAGGCTGGCTTCCATTAGACTCCACCTGTTAAAATGCGAAATTCCTTCCCAGACGCCAACCCTTATCCCAAAGCTCCCTTTCCTTGGAACACAGGAGTGTCACAGGGGTTGTCTATTCCCCTGATGACTGTCCTACAGTCTGAGGTACCACAGGAGGCTGAGCTGTTGCTCATAGGGAGCTGATGGGGGAGGCCGGTTTCAGGGATAAGGAGCAATGGTTCCTTTCTGGTGCCCCTGCGGGCACGATGTGGAGCTGAGGGCAGCCAGGCACTGGATGAGAGCTTGGCTTGGCTTGAGGATAACCTCCTGTATTCCAGGCCCCGTGGCCTCTGGTGTCCTCACCTGGACTGTGGCAGCCTCCTCTGGGACAGGAGATTCCAGGGAGAACAGGCTCAGAGGGATTGTACAGTGGGGTGGGGACTGTGTGGAAGGAGCCTGGGTTCCAGCCACCTGCGTCCAAGCCCGTGCAGCCCAGCCAAGGCCGTTGGGACATGAGGTCTTGGGTTGGCACTGGCTGGGGCGCTGGGAGCTCCCCCAGGCGGAGTCGCACAGGCTGACTTCCTCGGGAAGCTCACGGTCTCCTTAGGAAGGAAAGACATACACCTGCAGGCTTGCTCACGCACACCGTGCACGCACACATGAAACGCAAATGATGTGAAGACACCCAAGCACGATGAAGAGCTGACCGGCTCAAATGCGGCAGTGACTTGATTCCGCTACAGTGGACTGGTGCCGGGTCTGCCGGCCCTAACAGCCTCGTAGCCTCACCAGACCCAGCTCACAATGGGCAGTCTGGCGGCACGGTCACTCGTCCCCTGTGGAAGTTTGTGTTGTTTGGTTGGTGGATGCATAGCTCTCTGCTGCGTGTGGCATGGCCTTGGTGGAGAGCCCCAGGGGTCTCCTTGTGAGTCTCCCATGGGAACTTGTCACCAACCCCACAAGACAACTTTCCCATCACTGACATCTTCAGCACCATGTCAGCGGGTTACGGGTTACGAGGTGCAGGTGACAGAGCTGCTTGCATCTCAGGTAACACGGGGCCCCTTGGAGACAATGGGGGTGGGGCAGCCTGAGTGGGGGTTCCCCCTACCTTCTTAGCCGAAGCTCTGCAAACGAAACATGTTAAGTTCTTAGAAAGAGACAGAGAAAGAAAAGAATCTGCTCTTTGCTGAATTATCTTGTTGGATCCTTTTATATGCATATCCCCCAACTAACTGTGAGTTCTTTTAAGGCAAGATTAGAATCCCAGCCTCTCTCCTGACCTACATATGTGATCCTGGGCAAGTCACCTCACTTCTCTCAGCCTCAGCATCTCCTCTAAAAACTGGGGGTGATGTCGGAGCCCAGGGCCCTGAGGTGCTGTGAGCATTGAGAGAGAGAAAGCTCACAGGACCTGGCACCTTGTCTGCACACAGTCTGTTCTCCTTAAAGGCTGGCTATCATTCCCCCTCCCTGTGGCCCTCTGACAAAAGATTCCCCACGCCAGGCCCAGCACTCAGTAAATCTGCGCTAATGTGTTAGTGGGTGTTGATGAGTTCATGCAACCCTTGGGTCACATGTGGTTAGCATGTGTGCATTTTAATAGGCTCTTTTACAGTGACTCTAATGATGTGTGGATTGTCTGGGGGCTCTGGGGTTGTTCTCTCAAGTTGTAAACTCACCACCGCTCTATTCCACTCTCCTGGGAGTCTAGCCACCTCCTCCGCAACCCGACATCTCCACAACCCCCTCCTCACAGGCACTCGACACCAAGGACTGCAGAGTGGACGTGGTTTGTGTACATGGGTATGTGTGCTGTTTGTATACATGTGTGTCGCCTATGTGTTGTATGAATGTGTGTGTCATCTATAGTTAAGTTCCCAGAAGCAGTAAAAAGCCATGGACTGACCCTGCCTGGGTGCAACTTCCTCACTCACCTCCGAGGGCTCTGAGCCCCTTCCGGCTCCCCCAGACTGGACGGTGTGCAGCATCTGTGATCCTTGGTCTTTGTATCTCAGAATTTCAACCAGGACTTTGGCTAAACGGTGCTCAAAACAATAGTACTTCTTAGCTAATTGAATGGAAAAAAGCAGTGCTGGGATGGTGTTGTCTGGGCAATACTGCAGTGCCCTCTAGTGGATATATCCTGAACTTTTCAATGTTTGCAGTTAGGTTTGTCTTTGAGCCCAAGAGCTCAGAAGTTTTTCCTGGGAATCCAGCCAGGCTTGGCCCCTGTTGCTGTTGGTCATTCCTCTGCCTCGCAGAGAGCACAGCTCAGTAGGAAGTGGGGGTGAGGCTGGGGTCAGGCTGGGGAAGGAGTTGATTTCAGGAGACCAGATCTGAGCCTGCACAGCCCAGGAGACAAGGTAGCAGGGGACAGTCTGACCTCTCATTTCCTCTGCATCCCTCTCTTCTTTTTTTTTTTTTTTCTCAGGAAATGATTTGACACATGTCTTGATTCTGTGAATGAAAACAAGGGTACCTAAAACAAGATGACACATAAAAGTCAAGATTCTCAGACCAGGCACATGCACGCACACCCACATCTAATCCATCAGCAAGTCTTGGATCCAGCAAGTCTGGACCCAAAACACATCTCAAATGCATCCTCACTGCCAGACCATTGCCTAAGCCACCATCATCTCCTGTTTGATTTATCCCAATAGCCTGCCAGTCTACCCTCTGGATTCTACTCTCACTTTCCTATAATCCAGACTACACACAGTAGTAAAATGTTCTTTCAAAATAATAAACGGATCCCAATGCCCCCCATTTAATAATGCTTTATTTGTCCCCCATTTCACTTGAAATAAAGTCCGAACTCCTTCCTGCGTCGTACAAGGCCCTGTGTGTGGAATGAAGGAAGGCCGCCACTCCAAAGGGTGGGACCAGGACCAAATGACAGAGCTGTAGAGCACGAGAGAGATCCCTCTCCTGAGAAAGAGAAAATTTTCTAGTAATCAAAGCTGCCCAGGTGGTCTTGCTCAGTGCAGAGCTGCTGTGGAGAGTGCAGAGCTGCCACTGAGATGTTGGCTGGAGACTGGAGGAGGTGACCACCCTCTTGCCTTCCTGCACCAGAATTCTGTATCTGTAGGCATGAGAAATGTGGGAGGAAGTCCCCACTTTATTCGTGGTGGAGAGACACACAGATAGAATCTGAGCGGATGCAGTAGCTCTTCAGGAAGTGCCAGCCACTGCTTCCTTGGGAGCTCTATTTCCAGGGAGGAGTGCAGTACCTGGGGGGCAGCCCTTCCTGTGGACACCTCCAGTGTGGGGAAGGCCAAGTCTGCCTCCTCCCTGAAACGTCCTCCTCTTGGGCTCAGTTCTTCCATCTTGCAGGGTACACTCTTCTGAAAGCGTGCCAGGGACTGTGCTGCAGGTCGGGGACATTGAGATGGAAGGTGCAAACTCTGCTGTTGTGGGTGAGGGGGAGCTGGGCTGGCCAGCAGTTCTAGCACCACAAGGACACCTGGACCTGGAGAGAGGGGTGGTGAGTGTGAGGGGCAGAGCTCACAGGAACTGGACCCAGGGAGCCCTGTGGTCATGGTGTCTGAGAGTCCCAGGGCAGGGCCAAGACTTTGCTGGTTTGGAAAGATCCCTAGGTGGTTCTAAGGTGAATATGGTTGTGGAACCCTGGCTTAGTTGGGAAGAGCTTTGCCTCTGAGACACCTGGATTAGAGTCCCAGTTTTGTCATTTGACACTGGTGTGACTGTGGCATCTACCTCTCTAGTCCTGTGAATGAGCAGGAGGAGGGACAGGGAGGAGGGAGGGAGACAAGGAGAGATTTGTTGAGCAGTGTACCTGGCCAGGGAACACCAGCACAGGGGCAGGGTGTCTTTGCAAATGGCCACATTACACAGGCCCAGCTATACCCCAGGCCATGGGTATAGGCACGGGTACCCATTCAGTCCAGTTTTCATTTCTGAAGCACTTGCTGCCAGGAAGAGCCAAGATGGTGTCTTTATGTAGGGAACACAGTAGATCCTTAAAAAACATTATGAAAGGATTTTCACAGCCACCCTATGTGGTGGGTACTTCAGGATCCCATTACAGAGAAGGAAATGGGTACATTGAGAGGTTGGGTGTTGTGTCTAAGGAAACTGAAGTTAGTTACTGGACTGGCATTGGGACGCAGCCCTGTCTCAGCCAAAAGCCTAGAATGAGTCCTGCTTACCCACCATCCAGCTTAAGAAATGAAATATTACACAGCTGAAGTCTCTGAATTCCCCTCCTGATCCTCTCGATCCCCTCACCGCTCTCCCCTCCAGCCTCTGTCCTGAAGTTGGTGCTTATCATTTTCATGTTTACATACCTTTACCACATATGCAAGGATTTATAAACAGTGCATAGTCTCTGAGCCCACATTTAGAGCCTCTTATAGACAGTGTCAGGGGAAAGAAATCCTTCTGCAACGTTGTCTCTCAAGATTGTTTTTGACATTTATCCATGTTGACACAGATCTCCAATTTCTGCATGACCACTTTTTATTTATTTTTATTTTTATTGGGATATAATTGACATACAACATGGTATTAGTTTTATGTGTACAACATAATGCTTTGATATATATACACACATTGTGAAATGATTACAGTTTACTTAACATCCATCACCACACAGTTACAAATCTTGTGATGAGAACTTTTAAGATATACTCTCTTAGCAGCTTTCAAATATACTATATAGTATTGCTAGCTGTCGTCATCATACTGTACATTACACCCCCAGGATTGTTTACCTTATAATTAGAAGTTTGTATCTTTTGATCACCTCCACCCATTTCACTCACCCTTCCCTCCCCATCCCTCTGCCCCCCTGTGTTCTGATAACAATCAATTTGTTCTCTAGATCTATGAATTCAGGTGTGTTTTTTCCCCCTAGGAGTCCACATGTGAGTTAGATTATATGGTATTTGTCTTTGTCTGTCTGACTTATTTCTCTTAGCATCATGCCTTTAAGATCCATTCATGTTGTTGCAAATGGCTGAAGTCTGTGGTGGGAGACTGCTCCAGCATTGTGCCACCTCCCGAGTGAAGGCCTCCAGCTCCGCAGCGCGCTCATGTAACAAAGGCTTAGCCTTAGAAGTAAGTCCACAAAGGATTTCCAACTCAGCAGCCTAGCCTTTTACTTTAAAGAGTAGACACATTGAGGATCACTCCTACCAGTGGCGTTTCAAGACCCTCTGGGGGCCACCACCTCCACGCAGCCTTTTTTATGGCTGAATAATATTCAGTTGTACATACGTGCCATATTTTCTTTATTTGTTCATTTGTTGATGGACATTTAGGTTGTTTCCATATCTTGGCTATTGTAAAAAAAATGCTGCCATGAACATGAAGGTGTAGATACCATTTTGAGATAGTGATTAAGTTTCCTTCAGAGACATACCGAGCAGTAGAATTTCTGGGTCATATGACAGTTCTATTTTTATTTTTTAAGTATATTTTTATTTATTTCAAAGAGGAAGGGAGAGGGAGAGAGAGATAGAAACATCAATGAGAGAGAATCATTGATCGGCTGCCTCCAGCATGCCCCACACTGGGGATCGAGCGTGCAATCTGGGCATGTGCCTTGACAGGGAATTGAACCGTGACCTCCCGGTTCAGAGGTCAATGTCCAACCACTGAGCCACGATGGCCAGGCTGGCAGTTCTATTTTTAATTATTTGAGGAACCTCTGCGCTGTTTTCCATATGGCTGCACCAATTTACATTCCCACCAACAGTGCACAGGGTTCCTTTCCTCCACATCCTCGCCAACATCTGTTGTCGCTTGTCTTTTTGATGATGGCCATTCTAACAGGTGTGAAGTGATAACTCATTGCGGTTTGATTTGCATTTCCCTGATGATTCGTGATGTTAAGTGTTTTTCATGTACCTGTTGGCCATCTGTGTGTCTTCTTTGGAAAAATGTCTATTCTGATTCTCTGCCTATTTTTTAATGGGATTGTTTGATTTTATCATCACTTTTTAAAAATCCATGACTCTGTTGATGGACCTTTAGGTTGCTATCATTTACTTTTCTAGACAATGTTGCTACAAACACTTTTGTTCAGGTAACCTTTTGCACACACATAAGAGTTTCACAAGGGTGTGCACCCGGGAGTGGAATTCCTGGGCTGAGGGCATTGGGCTCTTTAAATTTATTGTGCATTTCCCCTTGTGTCAGCAGCATGCCAGAGTTTCTGTTGCTTTATGTCCTCACCCACACTAGGATTGCCAGAACTCACACGTACAAGCCTACCTTCTTATTCTGTGCTTAATAGCCTTTTGTGGTTAAAAAAAAAAAAAAGAAAAGAAAAGAAAAGAAATCAATGGAAGAATAGTTACACAAGGAATGCATCCAGATTATGTTCTTGGCTATGTAATCCTCAGAGAAGTCTGGATGGAGGTCGCTAAGGCAAGCTGTGCCATTGTTAATTCAGAACATCCTGCTATGAAACATGGAGTGAGAGACATGAAGCACACTAGGAATTGGACCGGCTTGTTGGTGATCTCCACCAACAATCTGTTTCAAGGCATTATCCTTTTGTCGTGACCTTTTGTTTGGGGGAATAAATAGGGAGCCCAAACTACTAGGTTTTCCTGAGGTGGTCCCAGTTCATGCCAGTTGTCCCAGAAAAGCTTCTAGTAGCACCTCCTTGGACTCTTCAAAGTGTTCAGGTTTGAAAGATAAATTATATGGTCAAGTGGCAATTCAGGTCAATTTCCTATCCAGAGTATTTAGACTTCTAATATTCTGCTGTGGTCAGTGTGAATATGATTTAAGGCCAGAGAGCAAATCATAGGGGCAGAGCTATAGTTATTGCTACAACAATGAGATGTAGGATGGAAGTGGGAGAGCCTCGGATCTTTCCAGAGAGGGAGCTGACCACAGCTCAGAAGCTCTGTTCCCTGTGCTCTCTCTGTGGAGTTCTGGCCGTGCTTCTTGCTCACTGCCCCTGGGAGAGCCAGCTCCAGGGGCAGGTGGTGCCGGGAAGCCTGGCCGGTGTTCCCCCTCCCAGTCTCCTCAAGATCAGAACCCGTTCCAGGCCACCAGACAGTGCTCCCTGCCAGCCCTTTCACGAAAACAGTTCCTGGATGTGCTTCGTGAGTTGTGGCCAAGCTCTTGTGACAACACCTCCTGGAATAACAAAGGGATCCTTTGTGGGCAGCCGGCTCCAGTTAACAGCTTGTGGATGGCTGGACTCCCTGGCACTTTCTCCTTTAGACGGCACCCCATCCCCCGACTCCCATCTATTCAGTTCACGACAATCTGGGATCCTACATAGATAATTGGGCCATTTGATCAACCTGAAGAGGTAGGTCAGGGCAGCCTTCCAACACGAAAACTTCCGGAGGAAATGGCAGGACACAATGGGAGACCTGTGGTGGGAGGCCCCTCAGCGGTTCCCTTCCAGCATTGTGCCACCTCCCGAGTGAAGGCCTCCAGCTCGGCAGCGTGCTCATGTAACAAAGGCTTCGCCTTAGAAGTAAGTCCACAAAGGATTTCCAACTCGCAGCCTAGCCTTTCACTTTAAAGAGTAGACCCACTGAGGATCACTCCCACCAGTGGCGTTTCAAGACCCCTCGGGGGATCACCAGCTCCATGCAGTCTTTGTTGAGCTGCCACCCACCCCAGCCCAAATAACAGTGACCTCTTGCTTTTGTGCTTCCTTCATTATCCACTGTGTGTGTGTATACACACACACACACACACACATATGCCTGTCACAGCACAATGACTCCCTCAAAGACAATGACAGTATCTTACCTTATTTCATGCACTAGGAGCTCAACAAAAGTTGGTTAAATTAAGAAATGGATCTACTCTTCACCTAGAGCAGTGGTTCTCAACCTTCTGGCCCTTTAAATACAGGTCCTCATGTTGTGACCCAACCATAAAATTATTTTCGTTGCTACTTCATAACTGTAATGTTGCTACTGTTATGAATCATAATGTAAATATCTGATATGCAGGATGGTCTTAGGCGACCCCTGTGAAAGGGTCGTACGACCGCCAAAGGGGTCGCGACCCACAGGTTGAGAACCGCTGACCTAGAGGGAGTTAGTCTCAGAAGCAAACTGGATAGAGGAACCCAAATGAGATCTCAAGTCTCTTGTTGCCTTCTGCCTTTCTTCTCTGTCTCATTTTCTGTCATGCAGATGGACTGTCCTGATATTTGAGGAGGCTGGCCACCAGGAAGCCCCAAGTCACAGCATTACAGCTCTGGGAAATGAAGGCAGCTGCACGGTCTCCCGAGGCCCTTGGTCATCCCTGAGGCCATAGCGTGGGGTCCACTGACAGATGGGTTCACTGGAATCATAGGACTGGGCTGGGAAAATGGAGGGGATTGAGGCAATCCTGAAGAGACAAGAATAACAGACATTTAGAGCCATAGCACTGGAGCTTGGGGAATTCCTGGGAAGACAGATTCAGAGCTGGAGCCCAGGACTGATCTTGTCGGAGGGATGACTCTGTGGTAATAACCACAGGCCAAGGGGGTGGGGTTTTAGTGCCAAACCTCTGTAAGAACAGCAAGTGGTTATATCTGCAGACTCTGAACATCATCAACAGTAAGCAGATGTTTGAGAACCTACTAAGTGCCAGACACTGTGCAGGCCCAGGGGGAGAGGTGGTTACCAGGCAGCAATCCTTGCCTTCATGTGACTTGCTGTCTACTGAATGCCCATGCTCCACTGAATGGCCCCCACTGAGCCTCAATTCCTGGCAGACTTGGCTTCCAGGATGGGCAGTCATCATCCTGATAGTTAACATTCTTGGAACTGAAGGCCCCATTTCATCGTGGCAACAGGGCTATGATGTGGATTTTTAGGATTTAGGGTCAAAAATAGGCCCTAACGAGAGAGAGAGAGAGAGAGAGAGAGAGAGAATGAAAGAGAGAAAGCAGAAAGAAAGAAAAAGTTGTTGAAGAAAAAGATGGACAGGCAGGCATTGGGGTGGGTTGGGACAGCACCAGGACTTGCTGTGGTCTAGACCCTGTCTAGAGGGTGCTGCTCCTCTGGCTCAGCACGAACTGCCTTCAGTCCCTGGGCGTCTCTCCAGTCCAGCTCCCAGGAGAAGGCTCTGATTGGCCTGACCTGGGCCAATGCCCACCCCTGTGATCGGGGGCAGGTTCTGTGATTGGCAACCCCACCATGTGGAGGTGAGGAGAGGCGGGTCACCCATAGGAAGGATGAAAGGGAGGGAAGTATGTTGAGTGTGACAGAAACAGCAGCGCATTGTTTTATCTCCATTTTCTATTACCCAGGTGTTGTTTATCTCGGCTCTCCAGGTGAGGAAACAGAAGCTTAGAGAGGTTATATGGCTTGCTCAAGGTCACACTGACGTTATGTGACAGGACTTGAACCCAACCTGCTTGATGCAGAGTCCACACTCTTCATCTCTATGCCAGGGGCGGTTGGCTGGCAGGGCACCTCACTCAATCACAAACGGTAATTTAACAGAATAACATAGTGGTTATGAGTTCAGGGACCAGTTAAAAGGTAATTGCAATCCAGCAGGCAGGACAGAGAGGACTAACTTATACTGAAGCAGCAGCTAAGATGTACAGGAGGATGTGATTGACTAGAGAGCATGAAAAGAAAGGTTCGGTAACTGAAAGCTGTCACGAGTGATAGCCAATAGGATGCATGAAGGAAGGACAGGATGCAGACACTCAGGTTTCTGGTGTGAGCACCTGGTGGATGGAAGTCCTTTAATGAGATACAGAATTCAGAGGAGGAAGTGGTGGGGTTGGGAGTGGGAGGGAGATGGCTATAACTTTGGACATCTTGGATTTGGAGGTGCCTGAAGGACACCCAAAAAGAAACATCCAGGAGCCAGTGGATAGATGGGGTCAGGAGCATGGGAAAGAGTCATGGGTGTAGCTGGTCCCCTCCAAGGGCACTGACAAAGGCCTGAGGGTTCAGCCTGGGGAGTATATTTCAGGGCAGTTCAGAGTACTTTCTGGGTTCTGCAATTTTGTGAGAAAATATCAGGAAGGGTATCTCATTCATTACTGTGCCTCCTCCTGCCTTGCCCCCTCCCTGCCTGCCTTACCTGGGTGAGTCTCCCAGGCTGCCTTACCTGGGTAAGTCTCCCAGGCTGCCTTACCTGGGTAAGTCAGTCTCTCCACCCTGCCTTACCTGGGTAGGTGAGTCTCCCCAGGCTGCCTTACCTGGGCAGGTCAGTCTCTCCAACCTGCCTTACCTGGGTAGGTGAGTCCCCCAGGCTGCCTTACCTGGGTAGGTCAGTCTCTCCAAACTGCCTTACCTGGGTATGTGAGTCCCCCAGGTTGCCTTACCTGGGTAGGTGAGTCCCCCAGGCTGCCTTACCTGGGTAGGTCAGTCTCTCCAACCTGCCTTACCTGGGTGGGTCAGTCTCCCAGGCTGCCTTACCTGGGTAGGTGAGTCTCCCAGGCTGCCTTACCTGGGTAGGTGAGTCTCCCAGGCTGCCTTACCTGGGTAGGTGAGTCTCCCAGGCTGCCTTACCTGGGTAGGTGAGTCTCCCAGGCTGCCTTACCTGGGTAGGTAAGTCTTAACATTTCAGCGCACATGGCATATCCTGAGTAGAGCCTTGCCAGGTCTCCTGAACCTGCTTTATAACATCACACACTTCGGCACAGCACTCATTCCACTTGAATAATTTAATCTCATCAGTAATGCTTTCACCTACTAGACCAGAAGCTCCATGAAGGCACAGACCATACCTATCTTGCTCTTGTATCCCAGTGGGATGTGGAGAACATCCCTCCTCCAGGCCCTTTCCCTTGCTTTTCTCTCCTCCCCCTTCCCCCCTCCCCCCAACTTCCAAGGATGCTGATTTACTTGGCCAGTTTCCAAGGCACAGATAGGGACAGGGTCACAGCATGTTACAACCCACCTACATTCCTGTGGCCCTTCTTCTGCATCCTTCACCTGTGCCTCTGGGTCAGTGACACAACCTGGGCTTTCTTGGGGGCCAGCCTCTTCTCCTTTCCTGTTTTCTCCTGCCATAGACCAATTCCAGCATGTCATAATTTTAAGAGATTCATCAAAAGGTTGATGAGACTTGGGGACTCAATAGGGTTGAGTCACACATGTAGTCATCTGTTGGGAATGGCTAAAGGCATTTCCCCAAACCTGAATAGGAAACTGATTGTGGCTGCCAGACAGTTAAAGGGCATCTTAATCTACATGTTATTGCCTCCTACTGGCCAAACACCTGAACAGCCTTAAGCTATTCCCCAAACTGACAATGCTTCTGTACCCTTTGAAACCTTACCCTTTGAGGTGTATTATCTCTACCTTGCCTTAGGACAAATTGTGTTAATAAAAGCAAGGGTCCTAGACAAGGAGGGACTCTTCAGTTCCTTTGGCTGAAGGTCCTCTGTCCCCCAATGCCTTTCAAAATTATATCTCATCTCCGGACTCTTTATTAGTCTCTGGATTCCTATGTCATCTGCACACACCCTTTTCCAGATTCCTGAACCCTTCTTGATGCTGGGACATGAACCCCGGCATTCTCCCAGTGCCAGGGCACTTGGAAGGGCTCCTCCTTTGGTCCAGCAGCTCTTGGGAAGGCCCTGTCCGGGGTATGAGGCTGTAGGTCCTACAGTGTAGGAGGTACTG